ATTTAAATTTATCGGGTTTTTCTTCGGTCTACCCTAATGTTGTATTTTAACTTCCCAATATTTTAATTTTAGAGATGGAGCTTCTATCAAAAGTATGATTTAGCTAATTGCTACGAAATCTAGATTTAAGCATACCAGTTTTGATAAGGTAACTTCTTCATCTAGATCGTGGTAAATGTCACTTTTTGATGGTTGTACTCACTTATAATAGTGTCCTTATGATGAATTATACATATATAGGTATCTTACAGTACGTTTATATATATGAGGGTTAACCCACTGGATTTGGATTTAAATTGTCATATCCATTACTTTTACTTCAAATAAATCCTCTCAAAGTAGGTTAACCCTACAAAAAGTTCTAACGTAAACATGGCATTACTGGCAGAAGTTAATACCCAGAATATGTGTTGTTTGCATTTACAATTGGCAATGGCAAAGTCGTCAAAACGGCACTTCTGACTTCTGCTTTATTTGGAGACTAGGTATGTTAACACGATATTCTATATTGTAAAATTGGCACAAATTCCCCGACATTAGACACTAATCAAAAACAAATTGTTTTAGTTTTATGTTAATACTCTCACCTGGAGAATTATTAATATTAATATTTTCAGCAATAAAATGTCCAATCTTTAGTATTAATATTTTTAGTTTCTTTTAATATAACTAAAAGAAAAGAAACGATTTATTACCACTATCACAATTGCTCAAGACTTCAAATTTCACCTTTTTAATTTTAATAGTTATTAAATATCTTAAATGTAAGACCTTACTCCAAAACTTCAACGTTTGAAATGAAAGAACAATATCAAGGTGACTTTGTGAAGGTTGAAACTCACATGCTGGAGTTTTAGATATGGTAAAATTGATTCCTTTTCTTAGTGGTAATAATTTTTAGTGTTGAGTGTTGTGTATAGATGGCTCTCTAGCATTGATCATGACAGCATTTAATTTTTTATACCCTCCACCATACATAGTATGGAGGGTATATTAAGTTCGTCATTCCGTTTGTAACTCATCGAAATAATCATTTTAGAATCAACAAAGTATATATATTCTTGATCAGCGTAAAATTCTAAGACGATTTAGCCCTGTCCGTCCGTCTGTTGTAATCACAATACAGTCAAAACGAATTAACATAGGGAGCTCAAATTTTGCACAGATCTGTCTTTTGTCTGCAGGCAGGTCAAGTTCGAAGATGGGCTATATCGGTCCACGGTATCGTACAGCCCCCATATAACGGTACCCCCCGATATTCGGTATTCTGATGATTTTAGCCAAATTTCCAACGGAATTGTCTGAAAATCCACACAAGGAGTTCCTTAAGAGTACTTAAAAAAAATTATTGTACAAAAAATATATATAAATTTTATCAAAATATTCATTTATTATTTAGAAGTTGTTATAACAAGAGTAAATTTTATATTATTATGTAATTAAAAAATTAATAAGTTTAATTATTATTAACGAATCCTAAAAATCAAAAAAAAAGAAATATATATATATACATACATTTGAAATATATATATATATATATTTGTACAGAAACCTAGCCGACAGGGCCATGGACGGTTCAAAAAACTTCTATACATGACTACTCTAAATTAATTATAATATCCTTAATCCTAAAAGAATTACTTAAAATTAAACACTAAAACAAATTAACAAAAAATGAACAAAATTAACAATTGATTGATGGTTCCAAGAACTCCTATACCTCAAAACTATTCATAACATCCTTAATCTTAAAAATAACACTAGAAAATAACATTAAAAAAATTAACAAAAAAAAGATTAGCAAAAATTACAATTCATTGAAGAATTAGATAAATCAACTATGCAAGGAAAAAAACAAATCAAGCGTGGTATAACAATTTGCAGGTTCCTTACAGATCTCGAAAACTTAAAAAGGTCCAAAAGAGTCGAAGATGTCCTCAATTTAAAATGTTTGTAGAAGAACAACATTGACCTTAAATTCACAAAACACTTAAACGAACAACCAAGAAACTCTTTCAAAGAAGGATGATCACGACGTTTGACACAAAAAACATATCGCATTACCCTATGAAACAATAGTTTTAACTTACGAAAAACAAAACCGTAGCTACCCAAAAAAATGAAATCATCATAATTATTCAACTATTTAATATTTTTAAAGAAAGATACATTTTGTTTTTGAATTAATGCACAAATTATGCTCCAATCAGAATTATAACACTTTCAATTGTCGTATACGACACAGAAAAACATGGTTGCATTCGACACTTCCATGTCAAGTACTCGATGTCCAAAGCCGACATCCAAAAATAAGGTTACGATATCGTTTCTTCTCGATATCGTATGCAGTAATTAGACCCCAGTTTAAATATTGCAACATTATATATTCAATATGGTAACATTAGGGGAATGAAAGAACGAATGAATAAGGAATCAAAACAAAACACATGATTAGAAACACTGTAGAAGTGTAAAAATTCTGTTTTCCTTTTTTTCGTGACACAGTTTTTTAACGTATGTCCAGTCTGACCATTTATTTTTCCACCCATTTAAATCTTTGGTGGGTGGTCCCGAGGAAATTTGTTTTTCTGTAAGCTGTGACCAACCACTCGATCACCTTTGACATAGCCCCTCGCTAGGTCATGGTGGCTCTCCATAAAATCTACGACAATTGTTTCTGGTGCCGAGTTCCTGCGCTGGCCCTAAAATATTAACTAATGATTAATTGATTAAACAGCATTCCACAAAACATTTTTTTGTTGTTTTTTTTTTTGAACTTTGAAACGAGACCCTTGTTGAAGGGCAAAGATGGCGATTTCTAGGAATCAAAACGCCAGGTTATATTCAAAAGGTGGTTTTAGTTATTGTTTTGCAGTTACTATCTTGTAATTAGACTCGCGAACTTCTGGTTGAGAGTGGTAACAACGATGAGTGTGTGTATCAATTTGCGTAGTTAAAACGATAACACCAAAAGGTGTATGTAAAGACAAATCCAGTGTGTTTATATTGTGATGATCAAAACTGCACTAGAGTTTTGATATGTCCAATAGATGCAGGTGGCTTATCCAAAGCAAAAACATATTTTAAGATAATTAGATTTTTGTACAAAATTCTGTTTTTGAGTGTTCTTTTTGTTTTGTTTTTTTTCTCTTTGCTCCAGTTTATTATTCGTTATACCACATTGTTTGGTTTTCACAAATGAATTATTTTTTTGTTAGAAGAAAAAAGTGGTTTTCTAGAAAAAAATGATGTGGCAACACTTTGTTAACGATTGCCTTCGTCAATTGAGAAACCATTAAAATTTGCTAATTATTTTAAATAAAGATAAAAAAAATGTAAATTTAATTGTGTATTTGTCATTAACACAAAATTTTTACTACTTACAAGCATGGTACAATGAATACAAGGTAGGCTAACTTTGAAAAAATTGCAAGCCTGTTTGGCTTGTAATGTCAGAATTACTATCAAATTATTATTGAAAAGAATACACACACATAAACAAATGAAGTTGACATATTAAGCCAGAAAAATAAAAAAAATAAAATCATATGGTAGTTCTGCCCGACTTTGAATTCATTGTACCATGCTTACAAGTATTTTGAAAGTGTTTTGAAGTCACAAGTTTTTATAAAAATACAATTTCACAAAACAAAAGTGGTTTCAAATCAAAAAAAAATTTGCGTTTTACATTATCTGAAAAGGCTAAATACGAAATTGAAATCACTTTAGTACCGGGCTGGTACAACAAACCAGGGTGTATCAGAACAAATTTGGCCAGATATCTCATCGCATAAAAGTTTCTACTAAATATGAACAAATCGTTACGGATAATTATAGCAATATTAACAGATCATTGCAACATCCGATCAAGAACTTCCAAATGGAATAACAAACGTCGAATACTGCAGGCTGTGCGAGGATTAGGAAGAAAATGAAAAGATTAAACAACAAACATGATTATTTTCGACGCCCATCTCCATCCTTCTACTTTTGTCCCCCTGATCTGTTAACGATACTTTCATTATACCCTCCACCTTGGAAAGGGGGTATATATATTTATAATCAGCATAAAATTCTAAGTCGATTTAACGATGTCCGTCTCTCTGTATGTTTAAATCACGATACAGCCCACATTATTTGACATAGAGCGCCAAAATTTAGCAGAGCAATTTGTATTGTGTCTAGGATGGTTGGTATAGAAAATGAGATATATCGGTCCACGTTCTGGTCCCCATAAAACGGTACCTCCCGATATTCGGTATTTTGATGATTTATTCCACATTTTTTCACGGATTTGTCTGAAAATTGGTATTTGTTGGTCATAATGGGTTCCAGCTCCGGTGGCGAAACATTGCATGTATGGGTCCACGATTTGGTATAGCCCTCATATAACGGTACCTCACGATATTCGGTATTTTGATGGTTTTTGCCACAGTTTTTCACTGATTTGTCTAAAAATTGGTATTTGTGGGTCATAATGGGTCCTAGGTCGTGTGGCGAAACATTGTATGTATGGGTCCAGGTTTTGGTATAGGCCCCATATAACGGTACCTCCCAATATTCGGTATTTTGATGATTTTTGACACATTTCTTCACGGATATGTCTAAAAATTGGTATTTGTAGATCATAATGGGTCCTAGTTCGTGTGGCGAGTCATTGTAATTATAGGTTCACGATTTGGTATAGCCCCAATATAACGGTACCTCCCGATATTCGGCATTTTAATAGTTTTTGCCACATTTCTTCTAATGTTTCCTTTACCCTAAGGTGGAGGGTATTAAAAGTTTGGCCCGGCCGAACTTAAAGTTTTTCATTTATTTTCACGCAGGACTATCACAATAAGCCGAAAGGTCTCCGAGTGAAGTGTATGTTCAATATTAATTGTAACTAGACATCCTCTAACCTAGCTCAAAATCGTATCGCCATACAGAAACATGCCCTTAAACCTCGGAGTGGAATATTCATATTCTGAAAAAAAAAAATTTGAAAACTGATAGAATTAGTTTTTTAAGAAGATATTTATTGATAATTTCATAACAAAAAAGTTTAAATAACTGTACATATATGTATGTATGTTTTTTTTAACAAAAAAAAAAGGAATGTCAAAAAAAACTGTTAATGGCATATAAATAAATTTAATTATTATTAATCAAAAAGCTTGTTTGGTAGACACTGTCTCGCCGAAAAACAAACTTAGTTATAAAATAACAAAACTTATAAAGAAATATCAAGTATATGTCATTGGTTTTTAATTAATGTTGGGAAGTTCATTGGTTTAAGTAATGCCATGAGATTATATAAAGTAAATAAGCGTATTAGTAGCCTCAATTTGGCAATAATGTATATACTTTGAAATTAATTGCAAATCTTAAATACGAATTAGCACATATGGAGAATATACGATGGCACGAAGTTAATGCGTAGTGTTCAAATGACCCATGGATGACACAGTTGTTTCAATTAGTAGATTGTAATCCAATTCGTTAAGACTAGCTTTGGCTGTAAGAAGATCCAAAAATGAATCCAATGGCGACAATTTATCTGCGGCAATACCTGAAAGAGAACGGAACGAACTTTCATTTTAGCAAATACTGTGTTTTATGGTCTATGATCTAAACTACACTTTTTACACAAACGACAATATGATGAAAAGAAATAAAACATGGAGGATTAATTAAGGCCCACAAGACTTAAATTACTAGCCCGGCAAAACATTCCCAACCTACTCCAGGAAATATATATAGATGCAGCTCATCAAATAGCTGAATTCTTTAACGTAGAGTTAGAGTTAGAACCAGATTAGCAGAACAAACATGTCGCTATTATTGCTACAACAAAAACAATTAAAACAATCCTTACCATTGTTCAGAGTTGGTCATATATTAGAAGTAATAATAAAGCATAAAACCAAAAGTCCTAATATAAGGGAAAACAGGACTATTATTAAAAGACATATTGTCATACACTGGCGTTTTGAACTTTTCCTAATAGGATCTAAATGTAAAATAAGAAAGCAAGAAATTATAAATATATTATACATACTAAGGGTTAAATTGAAACAAGTTTAAAAACAGCTAAGTTCGGCCGGGTCGAACATTTTAAAGGAACTCGAAACATTTTCACTAAATTCCGTCGAAAATACCGCTTAAAGGAAAACTGTTATACGTGGTCCCATTACGAGCTTCAACTACGAAATTTGAAACAATTCCGGTGAATATCGGGGGGTACACATCACGCTATCTTTCGAACGAATTGAGATATTAAGGCACACATGTATATTTTGTTAGTAGGCAAGTTAAGTTCGAAAATGGGTCACGGTCCACGTTTTCGCATAGCCCCTATATAACGCTACCTCTAAATATTCGGTATTTTGATGATTTTAGCGACATTATATTTAGGAATTTTTTTTTCAAATTTCGTTTTAAAATATACAGAATATAATCAAAATCGTATGTTTATTATTAGGGTGTTCTTTACATATAAATATTTCCAGGTCATCGCTCTAATGAAAATTACTTTTAATTTTCATTGCAAAATAGCCAAATAGGCCATTAAAATTGACGCAATGCAACATTGTAAAAATTATAATACTTTCATCAGAAATGGTTCGTATTCAAATTTATCCATTTCCCAAAAGTACCACTTAAATGAAAATCGTTATCTGGAGACTATACGAAGACGTGGACCTGTATACGAAATTTTTTGTCATAGGCTGTAGTGCCCATTACGAACTTTAAATACGAAATTTGTTACAATTACCGTGAATAATGTCGCAAAAATCATGAAAATACGGAGTATCAGGAGGTACCGAAGACGTGGACCTGCACAAACAATTTTCTGTCTTAAGATGTAGTGCCTATTAGGATCTTCCAGTACGAAATTTGAAACGATTTCTGTGAAGAATGTTGCTGAAATCGTCAAAATACCGAATATCGGGAGGTGCCGTTATATGGGGGCTATATGAGGACTTGGATCTGCATACAAAATGTTTTGTCATAGGCTGTAGTACTTATTACGAACTTCAAATACGAAATTTTAAACGATTCCGGTGAATAATGTTGCTGATATCATCGAAATACCGAATATTGGGAGGTACCGTTATATGGGGGCTGTACGAAAACGTGGTCCGACATGGCCCATTTACCGACTTGTAAACTATGCAAAATTTTAGCCTTCTATCTCAATTCGTTCGAAAGATAGTGTGATTACAACAGACAGACATCACTAGATCGTCTTAGAATTTTACGCTGATCCAGAATATATATACCTTGTAGGGTATATTATGAATATTTCGAGGAGTTACAAACGGAATGACAAAGTTAATATATGGTGGGGGGGTATAAACACGAAAGTAGAAGAAACATCATCCTCTGCTAGGAATATGTTACGAACAAAACACTCATTTTAAAGTAACCGCAGAATATTTACGTCACTATCTATTATTACGAAACTGAAGAATTGCTCAAATGTACATCAACTACCGATTTAGTCCTATAGTTTGTAGAAACTGTCATTTTAGTTGCCGACTTTGGTGTCTTTTTTTTTAATGATGTAGTGTTTTGGACGTTCTCCAGAATACAATTCAGTGTTAGATTCAGTGTTAGATTGTTTTGTATCATGGATGTTGATTTTTGGTTTTAAGTGATAGTTGTGGATATCATTTATGAAAAGTTCGTTTATAAGTTTTTAGCCTATTTTCTGCTGTCACATTGAAGAATTAAAGTGGTAACCTCATTCGTCAAATTAGCAATGTTAACCCCCCTCTTTATATTGGAACTCTCAGCGTTACCTAAAATTAGACGTTGCGTATAAAAATATTCATCTTCCCCACCATGGTAAAATTTAATTAATTTTGAAAGTTGGATGCTGCAAATTAAGTACATATAGAATATGTTATGTTAACATGAGATAATATTTATAACACCAACAACAAACTTTCTCCTTATATGAAGTTAGTTAAAGGTTAATTGAAAAATCTATGAGTATGCCCAATCTCATGAAATTAAAATGGATTTGTTAATATTGTCTGTAATTTATATAGAAATGGGTTGAAGGATGGGTTCCATTTCCCTTTTATAAAGTTTTTGATTATTTGTTCATATTAAGGCTGTTACGAATTTGTAAAAGTTGTTTAGTTTCTGTAGGCTTTGTTACGGAAATGAAATGGAAAAAATTGAGGTTGAATAAAATTGCAACGAAAACCGCTTACCACTTCGAACATCCGTTCGATGTTGTGAGTTCATATTGGAAACACTTCCCTTTCGTTGTTGTACAGGATTGCCTGAGAGTATATTCGCTGCATGTTCGCGACCACGAATCATTAGACTTTCTGGATGACTCCAGTTTTTTAGTAATCGTTGAGCGCGTTGTTTTGGTAACGCAGACAACAGACACAGTTTCTTTTCAATGCCATCTTTGGAGTCATCAATATCTATAAATGGTATAACAGAATGTTATTAATAAGTCAATCGAAATTTAAAATAGCAAGCACCATTGATTATAGCTTTCATGACATCGATTTGGAGCTCAAAAACAAAATTTTGAACATACTGCAAAAACATTTCAAACGTTAGAGCCCTATAACCGAGATATGTAAAAAATGAAGCAAATCCTTGTGGGAGAGGAAATGCAATCGAGTCTACAGCCAAACAATACCGTTCTAATATGAGAAATAGGGAATGTTGTTGACCATTGCTCATTTGGTCTCTGTAAAAAAAATCAAAATAATATTGTTCGAAACTTTTTTTATATCATTACATTAGCTGAAACCCTCTAAATGTTTCATGTCTTGCGTGTAAGCCAGACGCCCGGCAGACTAATGAGCAAAGGGAACGGGATAAATCCAATTGAGCTGCAACATATTGTGTTGCGACAGCGTGCACATGAGCCGGAGCTTGAGATCTTTCGAAGAATGTCTCCTTAAGCCATCGAAACCCAGTATTTGGTTTAGACGAATTTTTCACCAGGTGTACACTAAGCTCTCGTAATGTCTGAAAATATATGCTTTAGTGATGTATATTTTGGGATTGATACTGATACTGTAAGGGGCTTACCACCGACATTACGTGCTCCTGTTTAGTGGCAGTGCACGATTCTACTTCTATGAATGGCATAACTTCATTGCAGCTACGGCGAATTCCCGAAGAAAAATCATTTATGCTGCCACCACCAGTGCTTGGTGTTGTTGTCTGCGGCGTCGTACACCGCGAAAGTGCTTCTGGCTGGTAGCAGGCCAAGGAAAACATCAACTTTTCACTTACTTGCTCTACTGTAAAGCGTCTATTGGAACAATTGGAATTTTCTTTGTGCCCCGCATCGTTAAGGTGTTCCCACAAACGTGTCCAAATATCTGCTTTGTATGGTGACAAACGCTGTTGGGGAGATAACAACATCATACTAGTATTCCACAAACTCTCATGGGAAATGCCAACACTTATATCAGCTACTCTGGCTTGTATTGGTTTTGATGCATCAGCAGTAGTTAACGGCAAGAACTTTGACATGCTTATGGCATCCGATGGTAGGCCGCGCAAAGCTGCTGCATAACTACCGGCAACTAGAGACTCTTTTAATAAAGCAACAGTATCTAAGGACAATGGACGTTCCATTATAATACTCAACAGTTCTGAAAGCACATCCAGTTGGTCATTTGAAGCGTGAACCAAAAAATGGTGTATTATGCTTAGTCGATTATCGACAGATGTATCGTTTCGGAATGCTTCAATGAGATGTGCACGTGGGACTGATAAAGATACCAAGTCTAATGTAGCCGTATCATATGCCATGAAACCCCATTTTCGACATGGTACTAGATGCGTAAGAGGATTCCGATTATGTGCTGGACATACAATGTGACAGCAAGGTTCGTGTGTTAAGCCCACATCCAAAAGATGGACAAACAAATCCGGTTGGAATACAAGTAGATGATGAGGACCATGCAATGCGAATGTTGGTTTTAGAAGACGTGCCTTTTCCCAAGGAACGCCGGGCATTACACAGTGTACAACACATCCATGATGCAATAAAGTAACTGAATAAGCGAAATGAACATCAACTTTTTGGCCATTAACAGAAGGTGCCGAAGATGACGTTGTGGAACTTCCGGCCGATGGGGTTTCACTTTCGTCAACATTTTTCGGTTGTATTGGTTGGTAGAGATAATAATGACAAACGAAAAGCATGCCACTAGTATCTGCCAAAATAATCAAATTCAAAGAAGTATCATGAACTCTCAGCGGCACCACATCATCTTCATAGGTAGGATCGTCATCGTCATGAAATGAGCCGGTTGGCAATTTTGGCAAATTTAATGGTATATTCAACTAGAAAATAAATGGATCGAAAAATATCACTTTTTTAACTGCTTAAATCAATATGTATATACCTACCACAGTTTCTGTTGGCAACTTATCATTGAACTGAAATGCAGATAGCGTTGGGCTCATAACATTCTCGTTGTTGTCATTGTCATCATCAGATTCCATGAGAGAGATGCTCTTTGCTTTTGGTTTCATGTGTATATAGTAAAGAGCTTGATTATCACTATCCCATTGGGCCCAAGTGAATTTTTTTACTAAACACTCAGGTGTCAATAGTGTCACATCCAAATACCATTCCTCATCGTTGGCAAAATCCAATGTGAGGGCTGCATGATCTCTTGGTTTAATTGTGCAAGTATACTGGAGAACACCTTTAGAAAAAAAAGGATTAAAATTCTAAAAACGATTTAAATGGACATCTTATCTCACTTATTCCATGTGTTAATACTAAAAGTTTTTCTTGCCAGCATTTATCGAAACGATTTTCGGTACGCCACAAAAATTGCACTAATACTTGACGCCTACTGGGTACCTTCAGTAAAGAGGTGCATTCAGGAGTTACTTCTTTTCCTCGTACCTCCGTAATATAGGCAAAATAGCAAATACAATCTGGTTGCGATTCATTTTCGCTTTCCTTCCACTTTTTCTTAACGACGAAGGCCAGAAGGCTAACTGAACTATTTACAGTAGCCTGTACAACCTCAACACATTCTTCAAGACGATATAAAACACGCAGGGTTTTAGTATTTGGATTAAAGTGTCCAATGCATGTTTCTCTTGTTTCACCATCCATCTTCTCAAATTGCCAGGAAGCCAGCATAGAACCATCTTTTTCTTGTCCCAGAACACGCCACTCCTGTGGTTTATCTTGAAGAGAGCAAACGGATTAACTGTTGGTTCATAACGATATACAAGTTACATACCTGTGTACCCCTGGCCCGCTAATAAACCACAAAAATTAGCTGCCAAATTTTCTTGCCGTAACATTTTGCTTCGAGTTGTGTTTTTCCGAAACGATATTTTTTAATGGAATCAGAAAAATTAAATAAACCCACCAAGTTTTTTTATCAAATTATTTTTTCACGCTCGCCAGATAGTAATGGTACTATTGTTAAAACATTTTGTGATCGTTATTTAAGGAAATTGTCTTATCGCAACGCCTATAATAAAAGATTGTATCCTCAGCTTTTGTTACCATAGCTAAACATAGAGGATTAGACATTAAATATTAAACAATTTACTTACTTTCTCCACTTATGTATAATATGGAGTATTGTATATTACCAACACGAACAATACAAGAGTTTGCGCATTAAACGTTCCAAACACTGTTGCCTATTTGGTAGAATTCTCACACAATTTGTATCATTGTGGTTAGGAAACTTGTATATTTTCCTAAGAGAATTTAAAAAATAAAGAACCCTGGCAAAAAAAATATCAAAACATGTGATTCTCTCATATTTGCAAATTTTATAAGCAAATTAACAAAAATAATAGTCTTTTAATATATAAAAATGCCGTGGTTAACACATGGGGAAAATTACCCATGTCCCTATGGGTAATTTTGCTAAATCGAGTATGGCAACCCTTTATTGAAGTACTCGGCCAAGGCCATGGTAGAATAATACAGGTAATAGCAAGTGTTGTTGTACAACAAACGTAACAACAACCACATGCAAATTTGTTTTTGTACGTACTACAAGCAGGGTTCGAAAATAAACAGTACACTAACATAGTGTACTGTACCGGTACAGTATCACTAAAAAAATTTTTAGCGGTGGTGTACCGGTACACTACCACTAAAAAATATGTTAGTGATACTGTACCGGAACACAACGATAATCGTACTGTACCGCAGTCGGAGCACTAAAAAATCGTAGTGTACCGCAGTCGGAGCACTAAAAAATCGTAGTGTTCCGGAGTCGGAGCACTAAAAAAGGTAGTGTTCCGCAATCGGAGCACTAAAAAATCGTAGTGTACCACATTAAAAAAATGTACTGGCATCAATACGCTTTTTTATGATTTGGGAAAATAATATTAAAGGTTTGATTTTTTAGTATGTAGCATTGCAAATGAATAAAATGATTATAATAAAAGAAATTAAAAATTATCCAACTTTGCAATATTACACAAAATTCGATATTAGTATCACTCTTTGTATAAGTGGAAATTAAAGAACAAGTAAAACAACGTACTGTCATATGTCAATGAAACATACTTAATACTGATTTATTTATAAGTATTTAATTGTTATTACATAAATGTATTTTTTAATAAAAATTGAATTAATTAAACAACTTAAATATAATAAACATAATATAAATAGAAAGTAAAAAAGGAAATGTAATAAACTAAAAATATAAGTACACCAGTACGAACTTTAATCTGATCCCAATTGGCTTTTACCATTAATATATGCTCTAAATTTAACTGATCGGATAACATATATTTCATAGCTGAAAATAAGCGTTCCACGCTTACTTGTGTTGATGGTATTGCCAGTAAAATATTCGCAATGTTTGAAGAATCCCAATATTGTAAAACATTTGCATTTAGTGGCAATCTAGATTTTCTTTCATAAGTGGATAGATCGGATTCAAAATTATCAATGTTTGAAGAACTCTGTGTTGGCGTGGTAGGATCTAAAGTTTGCAGGTAATCGGAAAAGGATTTCAGTGTGCATGCATTACTTGTTGATGGAGTTTCATCCAGTATTGTGCAGGCCGTATTGTCTGTTGTAGAATCTGAAGAAATAAGGGTAATAGTTAAAAACATATGTATGTATTTTTGGTATTAATATAGCAAACGTTCGCTATCCTGAGATTCCTCTTCCATAAGCATTTGTAACTCCGAATTCAGCACTTTTACCGTTTTTAACATGTTAGATCCATTGTCGGTTGTAATGGTAAAAATGTTGCGTACATCAACACCATATTCTTTTAGAACTTCCAATATAATAGATTTTATATATTCACCGGTATGACTTGATTTCAGCTCTTTTACTGCCAATGTTTTAACAATGATTTTACCACTTTTGATGTATTGAACATTTATACCGAGCATGCTAAAATCCCACCTGGTTGCTACATCAATCTTAAGAGAAAACAATGTCCCTTTTAAATCATTAGATATTTCCGTTTTAATATTTGTGGAAAATGCGATGATTCGTTCCATTATATTATGCTCATTGACTGTTATTCCGAGCAAACTTAAAACTGGTTCCATTAGAATTTTGAAGGCCCTATCTTCGGCCATGTGCAGAGGACGTCCATTTTTGGTGAATAGTTCCACTATTGCTAGTTCGATGTTCCTCGGATTTACATTTCTTCGCAGTAATACTTCGTTAACACAATTTTGTAATTTCATTGCACGTTTTTGTTCAATATAGTTTGCATATTGCTCAGGATGTGATCGCTTTAAGTGTCTTTCTATATTTCCGGAATGTGCACTTAAAATCTTGTTCTTACAACTTTGCAAATTACACACAACATCGTTTGATTCATTTGTATTGAACATATCTAAAAGAATAATATTTTTAGGTCGCGGCATTTTTGTAATTATTTGCTGAACGCTTGAGAAGAACTAAACAGCAGGATATCGGCTTTTTTGCATATATTGTAACAAATATTGTTCTTAATAATAAAAGACTACCTGTACTCCGATGCGAAATTGTGGCAAACTATATTCTGGATATCAGCACATATTTTGATGTGGTACCTGTACAATGTTTTACAATTTAAGGCTAAATCATAAAACTGATTTTAAACCCTCAGCCATACTTTAAAAAATATTTAATTTTTTGCACCTACATTCACTGATTTTTCGGAACCACAAAGTAACAGGTACATAATCTGCATAAAAACCATTCATTGATTTCATTTAGCGGCCCACCTAAGATAATAAAACAAACTTGACCTTTTACCAAAATATACAATTTTATGGCACTAACTTTTATTACCCATATTCTTGCATTCATTCGTAGAATTTTAGTTTTTAAATGAATGAATATTTTTACTGGTTCATTTCAGGCGTATCCATAAAGACTTGTGGCAACCACTAAAATACCCTTTTTCACGGAGAATTTAAATTTTCAATTTAATTTTCCTTTTTATCCTTTCTACCTAATCTCATATTTTTATACTTTCTTCAATTTCGCAAAGAAAATAAATCCAGCTATTATTTTCATAATATTGAATTGTATTATTTATATTTACATTATAAAAAACATCGAACTTTCAATTTTTTCCCAAATCGTAAACAACATACATGTGGTACACTACCGGTACATTATTTTTTTAATGTTCCGACATGTGGTACACTACGATTTTGTAGTGCTCCGACTGCGGAACACTACGATTTTGTAGTGCTCCGACTGCGGAACACTACGTTTTTTAGTGTTCCGACTGCGGTACAGTACGATTATCGTTGTGCTCCGGTACAGTATCACTAAAATATTTTTTAAGGGTTGTGTTCCGGTACGGTACACTATCGTAGTGTACCACTCCACCTCGGTACGGTACAGAACACTATGGTACTGTACCATAATGTTTATTTTCGAACGCTGACTACAAGTGTCAAAACAATTAATTTTCAGTAAATTATTTTAATTTCAAAAACATACATTTTTGAAATTTGGATTATTAAATTTAAAATGCAGAAGAATAGTTTCTCAATTATTTAATTTTAATGCTTTCATACCATTCCCTTGAATGTGTAGTTGCTAGCTGTGGGTCCAAATCCCTCAACACTTCTAGCAATCGATAGAAAATCGTGAAAATAGTAACATCCCTCTCGAATTGAAACCAAATTGCATATATACATAAAGTATTCTACATTTTGCAATCTTAGGAAACATGAAATATATGAAGTAATATATACTATATTACTTCATGTGTTGTCGCTATTCCTTTAGACGAAAAAAGTTTCCGCACCACTGTATATCAATAAATGCAATTAAATCGCAAAACGTTATATCGATTCTGACATTAGTATTACCACAGAGTCAAATTAACTGGGGTTGCTGCTACCTGCAATAATTATACCATGGGCCAAGCCATGGCCCATGATAGAATTAAGAAGCTAATCATACGATTACAATTTTTTTCAAATTTAATAATTCGACAACATCTTATTGTAAAAATTTATGTTTACAAATCCATCATATACACACAAATCAGAGATAAGAACCTATTTTACAGAAAATGCAGAGATGGGAATACTTATTTGAAATTAACAAAATGTTAAAAACATAAATATTAATATGTAATACGGAAATAAAAGAGTATTTCCAACATTTTTAGAGAAACGCCATTAGCAACAGGTTTGAAGGATTCCGGGGAACACATCAAATCTATTTTTCTTTTATTGCTCATATTTTTATTTTATTGCCAAATTTCTTTTCATTTATAAAACTTGTAAAATTGGTAGTGCTTCCATTATTTTAATTCTTTTAATGGGGGACAAATTGGTTTGTTTTGGCAAATCAGCTGATTAGTTGCAAGCTTCTGCAGGAATACCGTCTGTTTACTTTTCGCCTTTTCCTTGCAAAAGAGAAAACTACCTTACTCTCTCAGAATGAAGTTGCTGGACAATTCTTGCTGGAAAAGTAACCAGACACACCTTTTATCAGATGAAATGTCATAATTCATATTCATGCTTGCGGATAAAATTAATATTTTCGCCTTGACAGAAGGATTTTGTGGCGTATATATTTGTTGTAAATTTATTGTCAAATAGATTAGAAAATGTAAGTAGATTTTTTTCAAAAATAAGTAGATTTTTATAAGTTTTCTTGTACGACACGAATAGAGGTTTTTATGTATGCATTTTTTCTGCAATATTTATATAATTTTTCATTCAAAATATTTAATTTAAATATTAGTTCGACAGTTCATTGTCCCTGTGTCAATGCAACTACTATTATTTTTCTACCATGCGCTTCTTCGAGAATCTATCAAAAACAAGTCGATAGTCGTTTCCATAATTGTAACAATTTGTGCTATTTTTCACACCATTAATAAAAATAACCCAACATTGCACTTTAGAAAATGAAATGGGGACTGAAAAGAATTACTTTGTTGCGGGCCTTGTAAACGAAAAATCCCAAGTCGACAGCAAAAAAAAAATTTACGTGGAAGGGCCTTAGAAAGTGGCCTTTTCGCCTACATGGTGGCCACCAACCATGAAAAACCACTAGCTTCCAGTATGCGCTAGAGTTGGGGATTCGTTGGGGTGTAGTGGTTTGTCGTTGCACCCTTTATAAAATATGGGTGGACAACTGGATTGTCATGCCATCAATCCATTGCCCACACCGATCGAAAGCCCAACATGTGAAATACAGGAAACAATATTCTCCATCATAGGAAAACCAAATAAACGCTGGGGAATACTTGCTTCTATTGAAAGAATTTAATGTTTCCTGCATCTCATCATGGGGGCCATACCTGCAAGAAAAAAGCTGAAAAGAAAGAAAAAAATATTAATAAAAATTGTAATAATTAAAACTGGAACGATACCGCTTGGTGTTGGCTGTTGGTGTTTTGCGTGATTTTGACTTCTTAGTAATTTTGACATTTGGGTCATATGGTGAATCTAAGTCTCCAAATTTTAGGAAGTGTTCGGACAAACGAAAGATCCGTGTCGGCAAAACAGAGCGTAGAAAAATTGAATGATACTGTATTATCGGCAAAAGGGGATGTTTTTAAGAGTGAAAGTTACTCTTAAAAGGTTCGGAGAAAATGGGATTTCAGAATGTTGCAAAGGGTTTGTTGCAGATAAACCTAGAGGGGGACGACTGGTTTTAGGAAAAAAGGGACAAATCTTGAGGGCTAGGAAAATGGCTAGTAATGGAAAGGAACCATTTTTGTTCCCGAACCTATAAAAGGTAGTACTGATGGGGAAAAACAGATTAGTTATTTAGTGGTGTTGAGCTAAAAAGCCTTTTTTTGAACATATAATCGAAATAGATTGACATTTTTATTTGTGAAAAAAATCTTTTGTTTTGTGAAAAGAAAAAAAAATAAACGTGTAATTGGTAATTAGGTAAAAATATTTAAATTAAAAGAAAGGAAATGTGCAAACACATTAATAATTATGATATATTAGGTGACTGGAGGGAGGAGAGAATAAGCCTTAAGTGTCAAAGGTTAATTAAACCGTTTCTTAAATATACTCCGACAAACAAATAAGGTAAGAAAATGAAGTGCTAGGAATGGACAGAAAAATATCCAACGTAACCATTCTTGTTTTATTCGGCAGGTCGGAGTCGGGTACAGACAGCGATATCTTGTGGGCAATATTCACATTAACACCACTGACCGACATTTGTACTTAAAGTGGTAAGTCAACTGTACCCAACGATATAGTGTCACCCGAGTACCATCTATGGGTGGACTGACACATTGAATTAACTCTCCACTCGTCAGTTTAAAGCTCAGCACCCAGAAAATACCCAATATATTTCCAACTTTGATTCTATGCTGTGAAGTCTCCAACCTGTTTTTTTTTAACGTCACAGTGTTCCGGGATTACATATAAACCTCTAACTATTTAAGTAATTCCAACGCAACGAATTCTTATTCTGACTAATGTTAAAAGGTTGCGGATGTGACGAAGTATTATTAGACTTCATCAGGATTTGAATGGTCGTAGAGGTGACCCTGGAGTATAAGACATATTGACAATTACAAACACATACAACACATTAACACATCACGAATTTTATTAATTTTTTTTTTTCGACAACCAATTTTCATATTTTTAAGTTTTTTTTTTATTTATTCCTCTATGTGTATTTATTGTTTATTTGAAATTTATTTATGTGATCTACTGTTAGAGTTAGGTATAACAACTTAAATGTTTTATTGAGTTTTTATTTGGACATTATTAGTTTATGTTCCTAGTAGGCAAGTTTTGAAACTATTCGTCGGATCCCCTTTGAGTCCAGGTAGAAAAGAGCTCTTTTTTTTTGGTGACGTTAGGGTGGGTCGTATATTCGATAGTATAAAGCTTGTTTATTAGAGTAATTCTGTGTTTTGATCCTTATTGGATATTGTTTAGAGTTCGTCCAAAGGACTAAAGAAAACATTATAGTTATTTTCTAATCTGGTCAAAAGACCGTTCGTATAAAAAAGGTTAAAAAAAGAGAAATAATTATTACTTTGCTCTATACTCTTTTAACGAGTTATTTTTATTATTAAAGTTTAATTTATATTTTTTTTATAATTTTATCAATACAATTTTTTTGTTAGTTTTTTTTTATATATTAGTTTTAATATTAATTATAATAAAATGACTTAATGTATGTTTAAAGAAAGAAAAAATGAGGATGTGTTAAAGAGTTATTAAGGAGGGAATAAAAGGGAGGTAAGTGGTGTGGGATTGTGCGGAAAAAGGGGTCATCAGGACAATAAAAGGAAGAGATGATCAAAGGTAGGGAGGGCGGCTAAATGGCTCGTGTGTCAACAGACGTTATGGATTTGGATGGTATCATGTTCATCATTATAGTGTTGTTCTTTTGTTGGTGAATTCCCATAGTTTATTGTTGTTGTTCCTGAGCCGGATGTTGGGATGGGACTCACCCCAATGGGAGTCGGCAGAGCTGGTCGGCGATATCAAGACATCTCAGGCTGCCTAAGAGGGACACATAACAATATGGCGCCCAAACCAAAGAAACCATAGGGTTTGTAGAAGTTAGGAAGTGTATTCCATCGAGACACTTGGAAATAGACCACTAGAAGTAAAAGAAAATAGACCAACATTACTACTTTGCGTTTGGAACGACGAATTCAAAGGGTTTTTGTAGCCATTCTGGACAGGTGCCAGAACTTGATGTACAAAAACGTTTGGAGCCCGTGTTTTACATGGAAAGTATGTAATGAAAAATACAGACCAAGATAGTTTGTGACCCGCCGATCAGAAGGTTAAGCGGTTTCGCACAAATTATCTTGGATAGATGGTAGAGAATAGTATCCGTTTGAAATTTAAAAGTGACACAGATTCATTAACAGGGTATCCGCTCTGGATTTAACCAGAGGACAGATGTATCCGTTTAGATGATCTGGGAAAACTGTAACGTCTTCGGTGGGAGGCGTTATAGTGCACGTATTAAATTGTTGTTTTTTTATTTTAATTTTGTGTTAAGGTTTGATTGATCCATCAGTTCCATAAAGGCCATAATAGCCTGCAACCGCACACACCACTCCTCTCCGAAAAAAACCTCCTGTAAAGACAGATAAAAATATTTATAATTAGAATTGTGTTTAAATTGTATTTTTTGCGTTGATAAAAAGTTGTAATGAGTACAGGGACTAGGTCCAAAGTAAAAGCTAAAAAGAGAGATAGACCACTGTTATTTGATTTAAATAGAACTATAGATAATTCAGAAGGAAAGAAAACAAAGGTAGCCAGTGACTTAACAGAAATGTCTGAAGAAACACCTACAGGTGGCAGTAACGTCCATGATTTTTCAGAGACGATAAATAGCCGAACCCCCATCATGAATTCCCTAGGACCTGTGTTCTTGCAAAGTGCCTTAGAGCAAAATAGAAATGTGCAGAATACAGACCAAATAAAGGCTTTAGAGAATTCAGTTCAGTCTGTCCAATCTGAAATGAACGAAATTAAAAAGGCATTAAGCGAATTATCGATTAATATGCAGAAGATCGTTCAAAATACGGTCCAGCCTACACAACCTCTTGCGAATGTGCCAATAGCTCTAAATTCAAACACCAATATAGCTCAAAATGTTTCAGCCCGAAACAACGATATTCCTAATCGTTCTCATAGCAATACCGTTCCAAACAGCGACGCCCCAACAACTTCCAATAATAGTTTACTCCCAATAAGTACTTATCCGGGTAGACCACTGCCCATTGAACCAACCAAGGGAATGAATATCGTTCGTATAAATAAACTGGGACTAAATTTTGATGGTAGCTCAAATGGTCTGGGTGTAGAAGATTTTGTTTACAGACTTGAGTATTACCAAAAGCAGTATAAAATACCCTGGACTGAGATAATTAGGGATTTCCCACTATTGGTTTCCGGTAGAGCAGAGTCGTGGTATTGGCTCTTTCAAAAGACCCATCAATTTCATGACTGGGAGGAACTAAAGTACAGTCTATTGAGTCAGTATCAATCGTCTCGCTCTAATTTTGAGATTCTCACTGACCTAGCCCAAAGAAAGCAACACGCTAATGAGTCGGTAGATAGCTTCTTCCACACAATGGGTCAAATCAGAACAAAATTGGTTCAACCAATTTCAGAATTTGATATGATCAAGATAATGAAAAAGAATATAAAAGAAAATATCGGGAGAATTGTCTATCCAATACAGGTCACCTCTGTTGAGCAACTCCGAATCGAGTGCAACGAGGCTGAAAAAAACTTCTTGAGGCGAGAAAATAAACCAGCCTTTACAACATCTCGTCCAATTAGGCAAGTTAGTGAACTTCACGAGGAAATGGACTTAGTGACAGAACAATCATACGCAGATGAAGAAATTGAAGTGTCCGCTGTCCAAAATGATAGGCGATTAAAACCGCAGCTGACTTGCTGGAATTGTAGAAAAACTGGACATGGTTTTCGTGAATGTGAAGAGACCACGAGATCCCTTTTTTGCTACAAATGTGGTAATCCTGGAACTACAACACCAAAGTGTGGTATTTGTCAGCAGGGAAACTACAAGAAGGGCGTAGAGATGGAAGGGGGCTCGCGTCCGAATTACAACCCCGGAAAGTAATCTCTCCAAACATTAAACTCCAGCACAATAATGAATGTCATAACGCGAAATCCTACGCCCAAAGAAGACATCAAATTCCGCTTGATGAGCGTCGGAAAAATTATGATGAAGTTAGGGATAGAATCTTCGGAGAATTTGATTATCCAAAATACTGTAAAAAAATTCCTAAAGTTCGTCAAAAATTTAGAGATAAAAGAAGAAATTTTAAAATAATTGTCGAAGTCATAAACCGAAGCAGTAATAGAAATGATCCGAGACCTTTTGCAGATGTTGAAATCGAAGGAATCCGATTAAAAGGGTTGCTAGACTCGGGGGCCTCAGTAAGTTTAATGGGAAAAGGCTGTAGGGAAATTATACAAGAATTAGGCAAAGAAGTAGCACCCATATTTTCAAATGTAAAGACTGCGGCTGGAAATCGGCACCGAATAATCGGTAAAGTAAAACTAAAAATCAAATATAACGAGCTTGAAAAGGATATTGAATTATATCTATGCCCTGACTTGGAACAAGAGATATATTTAGGGGTTGATTTTTGGAAATTATTCCACGTTGCCCCTGAGGTAATTAGAGTGGATGAACTGAAGGTAGAACAAATTCAAAATGACATGGTTAACGGGGAGAATTATAAATTAAACCCCCATGAGTTAACACCACAGCAACAGGAAAGACTAGATAAAGTCCTGAAGAATTTTGATACATTCGAGGAAAAAGGATTGGGCAAAACTTCCTTGGACAAACATTCCATTAAGTTGATAGACGGCGCCGAACCTGTAAAGGATCGCCATTACCCAATATCTCCTGCAGTTCAATCCATCGTATATGAGGAAATAGACAAAATGCTTACTTTAAAGGTTATAGAAGAAAGTGAGAGTCCTTGGTCCAATCGGACAACTATAGTACGGAAACCAGGAAAGAATCGCTTCTGCTTAGATGCGAGAAAACTTAATAAACTCACCGTGAAGGATGCGTATCCGCTCCAAAATATTGAGGGCATCTTAAGCAGAATCGACGAGACATACTACATCAGCAGTGTTGATTTAAAGTTTGCATTTTGGCAGATAGAATTAGATGATGAAAGCAAAGCATACACAGCGTTTACAGTCCCTGGTCGCCCGTTATATCAATTTAGGGTGATGCCGTTCGGTCTTTGTAACGCGGCCCAACGCTTATGTAGGTTGATGGACAAAGTTATACCGTCACACCTGAAAGAAAACGTTTTCATTTATTTAGACGACTTGCTGGTCATCTCTAGTGATTTTGACGAACATTTGCGTCTATTATGGGAAGTAGCAGAGTGCTTAAAGAAAGCAAATCTAACGATAGGGCTTAAGAAATCCCAGTTCTGTTTCCGCGAACTGAGGTATTTGGGATTTATCATTGGCGATGGAAAACTAAAGACGGACCCAGACAAGGTAAAAGCCATTAAAAAGATCGCAGAACCACGTAGCGCTAGAGAAGTTAGAAGCTTCTTAGGGACAGCGGGATGGTATAGGCGTTTCATTAAAGATTTTGCCACCATCTCCGCTCCACTTACCGATACCCTAAAAAAGAGTAAGAACTTTAAAATCACGGAGGAAGCTAGAAAAGCTTTTGAAGCATTAAAAAAGGCTTTAACATCTGCCCCAGTCCTTCGCCATGCGGATTTTTCAAAACATTTCTACATTCAATGCGATGCTTCGGAATGTGGAATTGGGGCTGTGCTATATCAACTAAATAATAAGGGGGAAGAACACCCCATAGCGTTTTATTCGCAAAAGTTAAATTCCTGTCAACGCAATTATAGCGTGACAGAAAAAGAATGTCTAGCTGCAGTGATGGCTATCAAAAAGTTTCGACCATATGTGGAATTGATGCCATTCACTGTAATAACGGACCACGCTTCTTTAAAATGGCTTATGTCCTTAAAGGATTTAACGGGAAGACTAGCTAGGTGGTCATTACAATTGCAGGCATTTAATTTTAATATAGAACACCGGAAAGGAAGCGAGAATGTTGTAGCGGACATGTTGTCGAGGGCTCCAGTTGCCAATGTTAGCGAAATCACGAAAAATGACTACTTAGATTTTGAAACCCTGGAATTCGAGAGTCAAGAATATCTTGATCTCATTAAAACTGTTACCGACAACCAAGAAAAGTTGCCAGATTTAAAAGTAGAAGATGGGTATGTTTTTAAAAAGGTACTACCTAGCTTGGAAGAAAATGAGGAACTCACATGGAGGTTATGGATTCCCTCAAGTATAACCTCGGAAATAATAAAAAAAGCCCATAATTCTATGACGTCTGCACATGGCGGGATAATAAAGACCCTTGAACGTATAAGACGATTCTTCTATTGGCCTCGAATGACCGTTCAAGTGCGTGAATACGTAAGGAACTGTCAGGTTTGTAAGGAAACCAAAGCTAGCAATCAGCATATGATGCCCAGTATAGGAAAGGAGGTAGTAACTGATAGGCCGTTCCAAAAGCTGTATATAGATTTTTTAGGAAAATACCCAAGATCGAAAAAAGGTAATGCATACATTTTCATCGTTGTGGATCACTTCACTAAATTCACCTTTCTCAAAGCAATGAGGGAGGCAACCGTCGGCAACGTGATAAAATTCCTTGTCGATGAAATTTTTTATAAATTTGGTGTCCCCGAAGTGATCCACAGCGATAATGGGGCGCAGTTTACCTCCAAAATGTTCAAAGAGCTGATGGAAACTTATCAAATAAATCATATGAAAACAGCCATATATTCGCCACAGTCCAACGCATCGGAACGTGTGAACCAGTCGGTAATTTGTGCCATTCGGGCATATCTCGATAAAGATCATAGAGACTGGGATATGTATTTATCCGAAATAGAATGTGCATTGAGAAATTCTATACACACTTCGACTGGGGTTACGCCGTTCTTTGCGTTGTTTGGCTTTCATATGTACTCAAATGGACAGGATTATAGCTTGGCAAGGAAATTGAAATCCTTAACCGACCATGAGCTCAGTAATATGGATAGACCAAGTAAGCTAGAACTCATAAGAGCCAATATAAAAGAAAATTTACATCGAGTTTACATAAAAAGTTCTGAAAAATATAATAAACGTGCAAGGGTGTGTAAATTTCGACCTGGACAAGAAGTCTACCGGCGAAATACCGTCTTATCCGACTTTTCGAAAAATATTAATTCAAAATTCTGCAAAAAATTTGTTAAAGCCCGAATTGTCAAGCCCGTTGGACAAAACATGTATGAACTCGAGGATATGCAAGGAAAATCCATTGGTATTTACCATGTCAAAGACATAAAGTATTAGTGCAATATAGATTTAAATTCCGTGATAGACAAGTGCATTATTAGAATTAGGTTGACTTAATTACATGTTGTGCTTGTCCCATTCATATATTTACCTCTATAGTGCAATATACATTACGTCTGTGATATACCCAAATGTACCTGATTTTCATATAGAAGTGATTATTTAATGATTTATACCCTACCTCGTAATTATGCATCTACGCCCGAACTATACCTCCAATAAGATTTTACAACCTATAATCATAGCACCTCACTATTAATACCCTATTTGGTAATTAGATATCAATATTTTGACTTACGTAATCTTCCGACTTATTCGCGCATGAGTGACCAGATTTCTGTTCCAATTTTTTTTTACCCAGTCGACTGACCTGTAAATACACACCAAGTAAGGACTTATGTGATAGAAAAAAAAAATACTTCCCTAAATTAAAAGTAAACTCAGAGCCCGGCTTAATCTCAGGGTGTGAGAGTTCCCCACGTTGGGCTTGATCCCGGACGTCACATAGTTCGATACAGCCCGCACACCAGTCCTGCCTTCGGGCCTTGTCAGCCCTGGAGTTTTGTTGCGGGCCTTGTAAACGAAAAATCCCAAGTCGACAGCAAAAAAAAAATTTACGTGGAAGGGCCTTAGAAAGTGGCCTTTTCGCCTACATGGTGGCCACCAACCATGAAAAACCACTAGCTTCCAGTATGCGCTAGAGTTGGGGAAGCCAGCGGTAGCTATAATGAACACTCCCGGATGGGCAGGCCACTGTAATGCCTCTCGTGACCGCCGTGTTCACTAAGTTTTTTTTTGTTTTCTTTTATGGGGGAGTTAATAATGGAGACACCTGGGCACTGAAAAGGGGGTAAACATAGTGCCAAGTATGTTTAGCCATGCCCAGGTGCCGTTTTGCTTGTTTTTTTTTGATTCGTTGGGGTGTAGTGGTTTGTCGTTGCACCCTTTATAAAATATGGGTGGACAACTGGATTGTCATGCCATCAATCCATTGCCCACACCGATCGAAAGCCCAACATGTGAAATACAGGAAACAATATTCTCCATCATAGGAAAACCAAATAAACGCTGGGGAATACTTGCTTCTATTGAAAGAATTTAATGTTTCCTGCATCTCATCATGGGGGCCATACCTGCAAGAAAAAAGCTGAAAAGAAAGAAAAAAATATTAATAAAAATTGTAATAATTAAAACTGGAACGATACCGCTTGGTGTTGGCTGTTGGTGTTTTGCGTGATTTTGACTTCTTAGTAATTTTGACATTTGGGTCATATGGTGAATCTAAGTCTCCAAATTTTAGGAAGTGTTCGGACAAACGAAAGATCCGTGTCGGCAAAACAGAGCGTAGAAAAATTGAATGATACTGTATTATCGGCAAAAGGGGATGTTTTTAAGAGTGAAAGTTACTCTTAAAAGGTTCGGAGAAAATGGGATTTCAGAATGTTGCAAAGGGTTTGTTGCAGATAAACCTAGAGGGGGACGACTGGTTTTAGGAAAAAAGGGACAAATCTTGAGGGCTAGGAAAATGGCTAGTAATGGAAAGGAACCATTTTTGTTCCCGAACCTATAAAAGGTAGTACTGATGGGGAAAAACAGATTAGTTATTTAGTGGTGTTGAGCTAAAAAGCCTTTTTTTGAACATATAATCGAAATAGATTGACATTTTTATTTGTGAAAAAAATCTTTTGTTTTGTGAAAAGAAAAAAAAATAAACGTGTAATTGGTAATTAGGTAAAAATATTTAAATTAAAAGAAAGGAAATGTGCAAACACATTAATAATTATGATATATTAGGTGACTGGAGGGAGGAGAGAATAAGCCTTAAGTGTCAAAGGTTAATTAAACCGTTTCTTAAATATACTCCGACAAACAAATAAGGTAAGAAAATGAAGTGCTAGGAATGGACAGAAAAATATCCAACGTAACCATTCTTGTTTTATTCGGCAGGTCGGAGTCGGGTACAGACAGCGATATCTTGTGGGCAATATTCACATTAACACCACTGACCGACATTTGTACTTAAAGTGGTAAGTCAACTGTACCCAACGATATAGTGTCACCCGAGTACCATCTATGGGTGGACTGACACATTGAATTAACTCTCCACTCGTCAGTTTAAAGCTCAGCACCCAGAAAATACCCAATATATTTCCAACTTTGATTCTATGCTGTGAAGTCTCCAACCTGTTTTTTTTTAACGTCACAGTGTTCCGGGATTACATATAAACCTCTAACTATTTAAGTAATTCCAACGCAACGAATTCTTATTCTGACTAATGTTAAAAGGTTGCGGATGTGACGAAGTATTATTAGACTTCATCAGGATTTGAATGGTCGTAGAGGTGACCCTGGAGTATAAGACATATTGACAATTACAAACACATACAACACATTAACACATCACGAATTTTATTAATTTTTTTTTTCGACAACCAATTTTCATATTTTTAAGTTTTTTTTTTATTTATTCCTCTATGTGTATTTATTGTTTATTTGAAATTTATTTATGTGATCTACTGTTAGAGTTAGGTATAACAACTTAAATGTTTTATTGAGTTTTTATTTGGACATTATTAGTTTATGTTCCTAGTAGGCAAGTTTTGAAACTATTCGTCGGATCCCCTTTGAGTCCAGGTAGAAAAGAGCTCTTTTTTTTTGGTGACGTTAGGGTGGGTCGTATATTCGATAGTATAAAGCTTGTTTATTAGAGTAATTCTGTGTTTTGATCCTTATTGGATATTGTTTAGAGTTCGTCCAAAGGACTAAAGAAAACATTATAGTTATTTTCTAATCTGGTCAAAAGACCGTTCGTATAAAAAAGGTTAAAAAAAGAGAAATAATTATTACTTTGCTCTATACTCTTTTAACGAGTTATTTTTATTATTAAAGTTTAATTTATATTTTTTTTATAATTTTATCAATACAATTTTTTTGTTAGTTTTTTTTATATATTAGTTTTAATATTAATTATAATAAAATGACTTAATGTATGTTTAAAGAAAGAAAAAATGAGGATGTGTTAAAGAGTTATTAAGGAGGGAATAAAAGGGAGGTAAGTGGTGTGGGATTGTGCGGAAAAAGGGGTCATCAGGACAATAAAAGGAAGAGATGATCAAAGGTAGGGAGGGCGGCTAAATGGCTCGTGTGTCAACAGACGTTATGGATTTGGATGGTATCATGTTCATCATTATAGTGTTGTTCTTTTGTTGGTGAATTCCCATAGTTTATTGTTGTTGTTCCTGAGCCGGATGTTGGGATGGGACTCACCCCAATGGGAGTCGGCAGAGCTGGTCGGCGATATCAAGACATCTCAGGCTGCCTAAGAGGGACACATAACAACTTCTTCCCTGGCACCTCGTTATTTTTGCAAATCGTAAATATTCTTATTGTATATACTTTAAAATAAAAACTAGTTATTTCCTTTTATAACTTTCATTGCAATATTTTAATTTCAATTATTTTCATACAATTTAATATAAATAAGCCAACATGGCCAAAATCCATGGTAGAATGAAGAAGGTAAAGTCATGCAATCATATGTTTACATTTTTTTTCAAATTGATTTTGACAACCATAAATTCAAATACAAAATTAAAATGTAAATTTTAAATTTCAAAATATGAAAAAAATCTTTTCTTTGCCAAAAAAAAATTAATTTTGGCAGGAAAGAATTTTTTTATTGTTCCCAAATTCGAAAAAAGCCGTAAATGATGGTCTCAAGCATGTGACTCTTAGATTTTTTGGGGCAGACATCGTGCAATTTTCCATCTTTACATCAGATACTGTGTATGCAGACGTACTGGAATGAGCAAAGTTTGACAGGAATAGGTTTGTGAGGTTTATAGGTTTACAAAATTTTTGCCCGTTGTGGTGGAAGTACCAGAAAAAGTGATCCGTTCTTCGTACCAGATCTCGTGTTGGCAGAAATATTGAGATGCGTGAAGTTTGAAGACAACTCTCTCTCTCCACATTTGACAAATGATATATGATTATTTAAAAATTTGGGGGAAGAACCAGAAGGACCGATGTATCCCATTTCTACAGTAGATCCTGTATTGATGGAAATTTGAGTGTGTGCCGTTCAATTTGGCTTTTATGGGAGTCATTGTTATTCAAAATTTTGACCTATGGGGAATATCATATCCGATCTTGTGTTAGTAGAAATATTGGAATGTACGAAATTTAAAGACAATTGGAGGTACTGAAAGAATTGGGTAGATATTGTTCCTTTTCACATTATTTTTCATTCATTTATTTTGAAAAAGTTAATCAATATATATGTATATATATATATATATATATTTTTTTTTTTTTTGTTTGCGACGGTTCATATAAAAGATTGTTTTGACAAGCTGAGTTACAAAAAATGCAAAGATGGGAATGCTTATTTGAAATGACTTTACCTTCTTAATTTTACCATGCCAAAATCATACAACAGTACAAAAACAGCCTATAACTATATTAATCAATATATATATATATATATATATATATATATATATATATATATATATATATATATATATATATATATATATATATATATATATATATATATATAGAAAGTTGCATGGACCAAACATTTCTTTAATCGTCATTGATTTATACTACAATGAATATATGGACTTTTTGGGGTCTCCAACGCAACATTTCAATGACAAAAAATAATTCCCATCTACGGTAATGGGTGTAACAGAGTAATTATCTTTGACTATTCTGAAATCATTCTGCCCTCAATCATGAGGTGGACAAAACTAAATACCATGCAGCACGGCATTCTAAACGTTGGAAATACAAACTCCAAATTACAGCTCATTTGAATGGAAAATGTTGCTAAGCTCTTTACAACACCAAAAATTGAGCTGAGGTTCCACTCGGGGCTATTATAGATATTCCATATCACATAGGTTCTTATACCCTACACCACATAGTGGTAAGGGTATTATGTCTTTGTGCATTTGTTTGTAACATGGAGAAGGAAGCGAGATAGACCCTTAGTTATTTTTGAGAATCTCCATAGAATAACTTTCTGAGTTGATTTATGCATGTCAGTCCGTCCGTCCGTGTCTACATGTATTCTTGTGAACAAAATGCAGGTCGAATTTTTATCCGATTGAGATGAAATTTTGCACAAATCTTTTGTTTGGCCCAAGAACGAACTCTATTGAAATTGGTAAAAATTTAGATATAGCTCCCATATATATCTTCGTCCGATTTGCCTTTTATTGTGCACCAAATGTGTAATATCAGCCCGAATAGTATGGAATTTTGCACATACAACCAAATTGGACCTGAAAATAAGTATATATTGTTCATCCGATTTGTTGTATTTGTTACCCACAGCCGTAATATGCACTCCGTAACAACGATATTCGGGGAAATATATCAAATGCAGCTCAGAAATATGGAGCTCTACTAAATTAGCAAAGTGGTGTAGGGTATCATAAAGTTGGCTCCGCCCGACTTTAGGACTTTCTTTAGTTGTTAACACTAAAATTAAAGCCTATGGCTGAAAAATAAGATCAGGCTATTCAAAATATCTAAAACCGACGGTAGATTAACGTATACTAAAATTTTTGCCATGAATATTTATTTCTATTTAGAAATTACTAAGGAGTCATTGCTTATAATGAAATTGTGCCGCTTTATCAAGTCAGATCTGTGATTAAATATGCTTTAAAAAATATGCATTAAAGACTAAAAGAACGGGCCGGCAATGCGGACCGGGCCAGCTAGTTTTAAATAATTCCAAATTATTGTGTTTTTATTCAAAACAATACACACGCATACACAAAATGTGTATATGTTGTGACAGAATAAGGAGCGAAAAGAAAAAATGTATTTGTTCTACCTTCCATGGTACAATAAAATCAAGGTAGGGCTATGATACCATATGATTTTATTTTTAAACCCTACACCACATAGTGGTAAGGGTATTATGTATTTGTGCATTTGTTTGTAACATGGAAAAGGAAGCGATATAGACCCATAGTAACTT